TGTACCAAAGCCTTGTCTAAGAAAGCTTTCAGTAACAACGCTCTATTTAAGAAAGCTTTGTGCAACAATGTTTTATCTAAGAAAGCTTTGTGCAACGATGCTTTGTCTATGAAAGCTTTCTGTAATAAAGCTGTGTTTATTAAAGCTTTCCGTACCAATGCTTTATCTAAGGAAGCTTTGTGCAACGATGCTTTGTCTATGAAAGCTTTCTGTAATAAAGCTGTGTTTAGTAAAGCTTTCTGTACCAATGCTTTATCTAAGGAAGCTTTGTGCAACAATGCTTTGTCTATGAAAGCTTTCTGTAATAAAGCTGTGTTTAGTAAAGCTTTCTGTACCAATGCTTTATCTAAGAAAGCTTTGTGTAGCAATGCTTTGGCTATGAAAGCTTTCTGTAATAAAGCTGTGTTTATTAAAGCTCTCTGTACCAATGCTTTATCTAAGGAAGCTTTGTGCAACAATGCTTTGTCTACGAAAGCTTTCTGTAATAAAGCTGTGTTTTGTTAAGCCTTTCTGTAACAATGTTTCATCTAAGAAAGCTTCGGTAACAAATCTGAGTTTATTAAAGCTTCCTGTAACAAAGCTTTGTCTAAGAAAACCCTTAATTTCCATTGGGCCGGAGCTACGTCACGCTATTCCGGTTTATTCACCCGTTTCAGGGTTTCACAGCGTAAAAGAGAAATCCTTCGTTTATTAACATTCACTTCTGTGGTTTATTTTCCCGAGTATGCGAAAAACTCGACCACGGAACCATCGTGCACCGGTGCACGTACCTTTCTCCGAATGCAATACGAATGCAATTCCATGCCGCGGACGGGATGGAATTGTTTCTAAGTGGGTAAAATCCGCGTCGACTGTGGTCTGAATAATTTCCCCTCAACGGAAACAGAGAAAGAGAGGCGAGGCCCGCTGCTAAACGAGTATTTATATTCTAAACCGCAATGAAACTTGATCTCCTCGAAAGGAGCAGTCGGTAAAAAGTATTTCTCGCATCAACTCCGCCTTAACAGCCTTCATTGGCTCCTTTTTTTCATGCATCGTTTGATTATACATCCAAACTCGAGTTTCAGTTACAAGTAAAAATTTCATTGAATAAATTAAATTAAAAAATGAACGTACAGCGAGTATTCTACTTTGATTAGGTATGTTTCAAACGTATACTTTATCGACATCCAAGCGCCGCCCGACAAGAAAGTCAACGACTCTGACAACAAATGAGTGGCACTGTTACGTGAGCAAGAAACCCCGCGATTCTGCGTTAAATAGAAGGAGAGAAGTGCCACTTCGTTTTAGCAGTTGACATGGCAATGTTACTTCACGGTAACGGTTCGGTAATAACGATTATATAAACTTGATTCGCGCCATAAGCACCGTACACATAATACTAACAGTATCTTTACGACACTTCTATTAGAAAATGGAAAAACGTATCTAAACGAGAATCATTACCCTCTCTGTAACAAAGCTTTGTTTAAGAAAGTTTCCTCTAACAAAAATTCGTTTAATAAAGCTTCCTGCACAATGCTTTGTTTAAGAAAGATTCCAGTATCAAAGCTTTACTCAATAAAGCTTCCAGTATCAAAGCTT